AGATGTTTCTTGAGGTTAGTTTATAAACTTAGCAAAGTCTGTTGCAACATAAAAGGTCAAATATTTGTAAAAAATATAATTTTCCAACCTCATTTTCACTCTCTGAGAAAAACACTTACTTTAAAGGTGCCATAGAATGCATTGATACAATATGTTAAATTGTTCTCTGATATCTACATAGAAGGTATGTGGCTTAGGTAAGTGCAAACATTCTCCAGAAACGGTTTTACATGTCCATTTACAACCCTAGGATTTGTCCCTAGAATGAAATGGTCTGTTATTACCTTATTTGGAAGGGTCATGAATAATAATGTTCAGCTCTGCTCTGATTGGCTGTTTCACAACGCGGCTCATTTCAATAGCTCACACAGCAAACCGATCTCTACTGTCCGGCATGAACGATGGAGAGATTAGGCATCCAACCTTATATGTTTGAGCCAGTATCAGACTTTGCACGTTAACTCATAACGTCAGTAGTCACAACTTTGTTTTTAGCATTGTAACAGCATTGTAATTAATTTATTTGTGTCACCATATGATTTTACAATGATAGCTTCTTCACTTTGTATTAAGAACTCTAAACTGTGAACTGGACAGCCCATAAATTTGTTGTTTGTAAAGAATTGAGAGTAGCCTACTGTCATGCACATTTATTTAGCCAACCAAAGTAAGGTATAGAAGCTACTTTTCCATGTTAATATAGTCAGTGTCATGTTTACTACTCCACTGCTGTAGTGTGATTAGGACTTACCCTCTTAACCTCTTTGTAACACATAAACTTACATCAAGGTCTATACATATCTTTTTTACAGGTGTACTTGTGGAAATTGTGCACGCATGGCCCTCGAGAGAGAAAATATATGTTGCAGGGAAATACACAACAACTACAGCTGGATAGAAATTTTTTCAACCCATATGTGTGTTTTCTGCTGCTTCAAAAGTATAAAGATTACTGTAAATAACAGTGCCATTATGTTTTTCCTTTTGCAGGTCACAAGAAGAATGAGCCAAGTTCCTTACGAGATATCATGCATGACAGACCATCCCGACCTTGTACCTGTGTGCTTAAATATATATTCTTTACTAAATGCAATGAATGTTTATAGAGCTGACCATGGGCGTTTGGGACTCAGAGGGATGGAAAGGTAAGGCCAATCTCACACAGAAGTGTACGTGTTGTCATCCCTTCATGTGTGGTGCTGCGCATACGAAGGGAGTTTCCTGATGCTGCAGGGCAGTATCTCGGATTCAGACCCCACCTCGACTGAAAACACAAGCTTTCTCCATGGAAGGTGTGTCATGCTGAGCAGACAGGTACTGAGGCACAGGAATCCGCTGTATCCATCCAGATATGGAAGGGGATCACGGACAATCTCTTCAAAAACACTGTCCATCAAGTTGATGACATAGCCTGTGAAGTACGATAAGTTTGTTTTATTTATTTGCACATTTACTTTGTTTATTTGCACATTTGTAAGTATTGTTTAAAATAAATATTTTTTTTGAAAAACGTACAAAATGTTGGCTCTGTCTTTAGTGGTTTGACGGTATGTCCTCCCTTTTTTGGCCTTTGGAAAGAGAAGCTTGTACACAAGTTTCCCTTTAGATGTTGTCATTTGTGGCCGGACAGCATTCTCATTGAAGTGCATTGCAGCAAGGTACAACCTAAAGCACAAGACAAACAACCCAAAGAAAATTATCATATTGCCATTGTCACTACGTCAATGCTTGTATTTAACACTAAAAGTATGTTAATATTCAAAGTACAATTTTAAAATACAGTAAAGCTATACCATTATGTAAACTGTAAACTCTAACTGAAAGGCACTTCACTTCAGGTCTTTTAGTTAGAACAGCCCCAAACTGATTTGCATTTTGATGGCCAGGGGTTGACTTTTACAGTTGATGTCTCCTGGCCATTGTTCATGATTCACACCTCCACAACACAAAACCAGTTCCCCTAGACAGAAAACATTAGTGTGCCCCCTTTCTCACATACCTGTCTATGTGTTGTGTTCTGACCTATGTTCAAGTTGTGAGGGAGAAGACGTACCTGCATAGCATTCCGATGAAGGGGAAGACAACATTTTTGGGTGCAAAGTGCAAGTTGACTTTGTGAAATGACTCCACAGTTGATGTCTGGTAATGTGGGCTCAGCTTCTCCACATCTGAAAGGACTCTCTTGTTTATCAGGGCCTTATGCAGCCTATTCAGTGCTCTCGAACCTTGGGGGAAAGCAGTGTAATGTTATTGATACAACACATGAATATTGGAGGATTTGCATAGCATGCCCCACATGCTTATGAGTGTTTTAGGCAAATAACACATTGAGGTTACACACCTGGTTGAAACCACTCACCCTTAGACAACCTTTGTTCATGTTTATTGTTCATCTCAAAGAGGCACAAAATCACTTTCACAGACTTTTACATTAACTGTTCCCTCCTGGTGGAATGACCTGCTCAACTCAGTCCCAGCAGCTGAGTCCTTAACCATCTTCAAGAAACGACTAAAAACACATCTGTTCCATCTTTATTTGACCCTCTAACTCTAGCACTCTCTATTCTAATTCTATTCTTTATTTTTTTTTTAAACTTGCTCCTTTTAGACTTGCACTCTATTCATTTACTAACTGCTTGTTTTCATTAAAAAAAACTAACACTAACTTCTCTAATCTTTTTGTATTCTATCTATTTGTCTTCTTTTTATTTATTATACAATTAACAAAAGCAAAAAAGGCCTCTAACACTAGCTTGCTCTACTCTTTTTCTATTCTATCCGTTTTCTTTTTAGTTATTATATAATAATAAAAAAAACCTTGCTATGTGTACTGTGTTAACCTAACTGAGACTTGTTATAACAGTTGTGTATCATTGCTCTTTTGTTAGTTTTGATTGCTTCCATTCTCCTCATTTGTAAGTCGCTTTGGATAAAAGCATCTGCTAAATGACCAAATGTAAATGTAAATACAAAATTCTGCTATGAATCTAAAGTAAGGACAAAACACAACTTCAGTAGATCAGATCTAACAACACATTTGACATGGAAGAGTGTGCACATGAAATCATCCAATATTAATTTCATGTTATTGTATGTTATTCCATATTATTGTAGAGTAACCTCTTATGTGTAAATATGCATTTCATGACTCCTTTTAAAACTGACTGGATAAGCAACTGAACAAATGATCATAAGTCGATGTTTACTAATCCCTCTTGAGACTACAGAATGTAGGTTTACTTTTAAAATATAAGAAAGAGAAACAACATAAAATATACATTTCAAAAGACATAGGGTAGAGTGGAGGAAAACACCCCCTAGGACTGTTAAATTAGTTTCACAGAAGAAAATTACAATGTGTCCAGAATAGTTATCATGGTTTATAAATTATGTCATTGTCACTAAAACTATGAAAAATATATAACTGTGATATTCTACAAAACTTTACTTTAAAACTTTTAAAACAGCTGAAAATGAGATCACTTACCATGAAATCCGTTTTCTCTTCACCAGTGTGAGCTTCACGGTGAATACTTCTACATCACTTTTGTCAACGTAGTCCATAGATACAAGAACACTTTACCTTGACTTTATCGAGTGGTTATGTTTGGAAAAACAGTAGAGGGGCGGTTTTCTCCTACTCTACCCTATTGAGTCACTCACACAAAAATATGTGTATATATGGCATAATATGCAGTACAGTGTATAAAAGTAAAAGATTAGGTTAAAGTATTTGTAATTTTGGAGCTCTGAGATATGGATAGTTCACTCCAAAATCACAATTCATGTTATTCTAAAGCATGACTTTTTTCCCTAATGGAACACAAACAGAAATGTTTTGTGACTGCTCTGTTATGTTTGTTCAGACGAATTGAACTGAACAAGAAACTAATTAAATACACAGATACGTACAACAATTCCATAGTAGGTTATTTATGTAAAAAAGGGAGAAACATTGAAACCTTTTGCTTTTTTATTTTTTATAAAAAAATGTTTTATTCATTAAATTGTAAATCATAATGAAAGGTATTAAACTGAGCATCATTAAACATACTTAAACTCATTTATTAAACATATTAACATACTGAACATTTAATCTCATTTGTTCTAAATATAATACAATACAGTTTTTCTCGATTGCTAAAACACTATAACCAGGCTTTTGAACTAAAATTTAAAAACCATAACGCCATTTTTCAAAAAGCACACCCATTTTGCTGGTGAAGGAGGAGGGAGAGGAGGAGGCCGTGGTGAAGGAGAAGGGAGAGGAAGAGGACGTGATGAAGAAGGAGGAAGAGGAGGAGGATGTAGTCAAGGAGGAGGGAGAGGAAGAGGACGTGGTGAAGGAGAAGGAAGAGGACGTGGTGAAGGAGGAG